GACACTCTCTCTGTTCCTCAGCACTATTACTACTGCAGAAGCAGACAAGGTCAGATCCATCATGCACGACTTAGGATGAACTGCAGCTCCTTAAACACTCACCTGTTTGCACGAAATTTAGTTGATAGTCCCATGTGCTCATGTAATTTGTCTACTGAAACTACAGAACATTTCCTCCTCCAATGTCCTAACTACCAGCAGCTGAGAATCCAATGTTTTAGTCGCCTACCTCCTAACTATAATGTAAGCTTTTTACTTTATGGTAGACCCGAACTACCAATTAACTTAAACGAAATTATTTTTGACTGTGTTCAAAACTTCATCATTCAGTCTAGACGTTTTTAAAGAAACTTTAACTTCATTCATATCAGTAATCATGTTTGTTGTGGTTTGTATTCATGCAATCAGCGTTTGTTCTCTCAATGCAGTTTTGATGCCCATCGCTTCCCCATCAAACATCGTCCCCCATCCCACTATAAATCCTTGCACCCTTTCTCTTTCTTTTCCCTGCACATGTTATACTTTATATATATTTATATTTATTTATATGAATTATAATATTGTCAGTACTGATCCATAGCTGCTGTTATGTCTACAAGGAGACGGATTTACATAAGTACTATGTACTTGTTTCTGGATCCTTTTCTGTATTTATAACCATGTACTATTGTAATTAAACATCAATAAAATAAAGTTTAAACTAACATGAACATGAGAGTATACAATAAGGCGAGGAATGAACGGCAGTGAGAATTATTTTAACCTGTATGGACGGAAACTATGTATTGTAGGTCGACTAGACCTGAGAAAAAAACGAAAAAAACTAAGGTGTCAACAAAACCATGTTATAACTCAAAATCGATAAAAATAGGACAAAATATGACAAAGGAATTATTTACACAGAGACACTTAAAAAGGTACAAGGATAATATACATGTAACACCAGGTGTTCCGGAAGGGTAGTTCTGCTTCATCATATGACACCCACCATGTAGACCGTATTTGCATCCAAATAATGTCACGTTCTCACATCGATAACTCAGATAGTGACAACAACACCGCAAGGCACTCTAACGAGCATAATTAAAAATGTCGACCTTCATATCACACAAAACGAGAATATAAATGGAGCTAACCATTACAAGGCAATACTGCTATTACTAGTATATTCCTCGGCAATTGAAAATGTATACACAAAGCAAATGTTTATAAAAACATGATAAAATGCGTGATAGTCTCGTTGTTTTTATTTATCATATCAGACCATGGCAGCTATCTTCGTCACTGTTTTGCGTTTCGATTTTCTTTGCCATTCAGAGAAAGTCATAGACTGGCAGCTATCTTGGTCACTGTTTGGCGTTTCGATTTTCTTGGCCATTCAGAGAAAATCAGACTTGAGGATTGTTTACCTCTCCCTAATTTGTTATAGTAGTTAGGTGGACATTTCTCAAACACATTGAACGATTTTTTTATTTTTATTTTTTTAAAATTCATCAGTCGGTCCATATTCGTTAACTGTGTAATGTGTTGCACTGTATTGGTTCAACCTAGTAGCCATATTTGATGGGGTACATGTAATAATGGCCACTGGCGGAGCTCTCAGTTGACTTGACCTACCTGCGTTGACCTCGGCAGCCCTACTGATATAGGATGGTTATGATAATAGATTGAAATGTCGGTCAAATACCCCTATACAAAGAATATTCAAATGAACCCAATATAACTGGTTATGCAAGCTGTTTAACCAAGACTGAGAAATCTCCAACCCTATGGATAATATTCTTGGTAGTCTCATTCGTGGCTTTGCTAAGACATTCGATAATATCATCCCGAGGCTTGGAGATTTCTCTGTCACACCCTCAAGTTAGCGGAGGATTGTTTTTCCATCCTGTTTCACTCACAAATCCGCCGACGTTACCCTGGTACATTTCCCCAGCAAAACCAGAGTTGTCTTCCATGGTATGCTACTGTTGACGTGACGTCATACTATTGTTATGACTTTGATCGAACCATTCTGCACGTGGTTATCTCCACCTAGGGGGTGACTAATATAATTTTTCCTTACTCGAGGGTGTGACAGAGAAATCACCAACCCGAGGGATGATATTCTTGATTGTCTTACCCGAGGGGTTTCAGAGAATGTCGCGGTCGCGTAACGGTAGAGCTTATTGGCTTTGAAGTCGGGCGTCGCTCCACTGTAATCTTCAAAGGACAAGTATCAGTCTAGTGATTAGTCTTTTTTTTTTTTTACCTGACAACAATCAAACAGCCAGCCGTGTGCCTTCAATTTTGCTATGACATATCTAAGGGGGTGCAGAGAGCGAAAGTGAGCGTAACCCCTGGATATCGAGGATGGTTTAACTGCTGCTGCTGCTGCTGATGATGATGACAATGATGGCTATCAATTCTCACTGCCGCTCATTCCTCGCCTTATTGTACACTCTCGTGTACATGTTTGTGAATAAGTACATAAACCCACTGTAAACCATCTAACTGTGTATATAACATTTAGTGTGTGCTATATCTTAATTAGTCTAATCTATGCCATCTTATTGTGTATATAGCATTTAGTGTGTGCTATATCTTAATTGGTCTAATCTATGCCATCTAATTGTGTATATAACATTTAGTGTGTGCTATATCTTAATTATTCTAATCTATGCCATCTCATTGTGTATATAACATTTAGTGTGTGCTATATCCTAATCAGTCTAATCTATGCCATCTAATTGTGTATATAACATTTAGTGTGTGCTATATCTTAATTAGTCTAATCTATGCCATCTAATTGTGTATATAACATTTAGTGTGTGCTATATCTTAATTAGTATAATCTCTGCCATCTAATTGTGTATATGACATTTAGTGTGTGCTATATCTTAATCAGTCTAATCTATGCCATCTTATTGTGTATATAGCATTTAGTGTGTGCTATATCTTAATTAGTCTAATCTATGCCATCTAATTGTGTATATAACATTTATGCCATCTAATTGTGTATATAACATTTAGCGTGTGCTATATCTTAATTAGTCTAATCTATGCCATCCAATAATGCATTAATAAAAAAATAAAAATCCTCGAGAATTTTAGATAGTTTATTACTTATCAGAAAGCTGGAGGTATTAAAATTAATATTTGCTTTTATCTCTACGCAATCGCCGCGGAGGCGTACCGTTTATCTATATTTGTTCGCTTTCATTTTATCAGTTTGCTCGATCTGATCAGCACACTGTAACATATAACATAATTATATTGTCTAGATTAAGTCGGCGTTCCCCGTCCTCTGACGAAATGGAAGCGATTGTGTATTACTCTTCGGATGATTCCGGAAGCAACCGGTCTACCGAGTATATTGATTAGAGAATTTTTTTAATAACAAAATTAAATGTCCTACTAGTCCCATTTCGACTGCATTAGCCATGAATTGGCATGCATTAGATGTCCCCACGTAAAAAATATATCAGCTTTCTTGAAATAAGAAGTTCGGACGATTTTATGAAGCGTTGCATATTATATACGGACTATTGAATTGAATTCACAGTGAGTACCCGTTTCTACATATTACTGTATTTAGATATGTTGATACTTATTTCCTTCCATACTCTCGATTATACAACGTCTATTTGATATTGTGTTGGCTGTTACGTCGGTTATAAAGGTGAGTATAAGTGTCACGGACATCAGGAACAAGGAAGGTACTGTGTAATATAAAGCTAAATACGTTTCTATTTTTAACCTATGTTTATCATGGTAGCCAAAGATGTTTTCTTTTATCCTTTGATGAAATTGAGATTCAGCAAGATGTAGACAATTGATCACATGGAGATAGGGGTGTGTGTCCCATGGTTAAGATAGGGGTGTGTGTCCCAGTGTTAAGATAGGGGTGTGTGAAACATTGTTAAGATAGGGGTGTGTGTCGCAGTGTTAAGATAGGGGTGTGTGAAACATTGTTAAGATAGGGGTGTGTGTCTCATTGTTAAGATAGGGGTGTGTGTCTCATTGTTAAGATAGGGGTGTGTGTCGCATTGTTAAGATAGGGGTGTGTGTCGCAGTGTTAAGATAGGGGTGTGTGAAACATTGTTAAGATAGGGGTGTGTGTCCTATTGTTAAGATAGGTGTGTGTGTCCTATTGTTAAGATAGGGGTGCGGTCCAATTGTTAAGATAGGGGTGTGTGTCCTATTGTTAAGATAGGGGGGTGTGTCCCAGTGTTAAGATAGGGGTGTGAGTCCCATTGTTAAGATAGGGGTGTGTATCCCATTGTTAAGATAGGGGTGTGTATCCCATTGTTAAGATAGGGGTGTGTTTCCCAGTGTTAAGATAGGGGTGTGAGTCCCATTGTTAAGATAGGGGTGGGTGTCCCATGGTTAAGATAGGAGTGTGTGTCCTATTGTTAAGATAGGGGGGTGTGTCCTATTGTTAAGATAGGTGTGTGTGTCCCATTGTTAAGATAGAGGTGTGTGACATGGAGATAGGGGTGTGTGTCCCATGGTTAAGATAGGGGTGTGTGTCCCAGTGTTAAAATAGGGGTGTGTGTCCCATTGTTAAGATAAAGGTGTGTGTCCCATTGTTAAGATGGGGGTGTGTCCCATTGTTAAGATAGGAATGTGTGTCCCATTGTTAAGATAGGTGTGTGTGTCCTATTGTTAAGATAGGTGTGTGTGTCCCATTGTTAAGATAAAGGTGTGTGTCCCATTGTTAAGATAGGGGTGTGTGTCCCATAGTTAAGATAGGGGTGTGTGTCCCTTTGTTAAGATAGGGGTGTGTGTCCCATTGTTAAGATAGGGGTGTGTGTCCCATTGTTAAGATAGGGGTGTGTGTCCTATTGTTAAGATAGGGGTGTGTGTCCCATTGTTAAGATAGGGGTGTGTGTCCCATTGTTAAGATAGGGGTGTGTGTCCCATTGTTAAGATAGGGGTGTGTGTCCCATTGTTAAGATAGGGGTGTGTGTCCCATTGTTAAGATAGGGGTGTGTGTCCCATTGTTAAGATAGGGGTGTGTGTCCCATTGTTAAGATAGGGGTGTGTGTCCCATTGTTAAGATAGGGGTGTGTGTCCCATTGTTAAGATAGGGGTGTGTGTCCCATTGTTAAGATAGGGGTGTGTGTCCCATTGTTAAGATAGGGGTGTGTGTCCCATTGTTAAGATAGGGGTGTGTGTCCCATTGTTAAGATAGGGGTGTGTGTCCCATTGTTAAGATAGGGGTGTGTGTCCCATTGTTAAGATAGGGGTGTGTGTCCCATTGTTAAGATAGGGGTGTGTGTCCCATTGTTAAGATAGGGGTGTGTGTCCCATTGTTAAGATAGGGGTGTGTGTCCCATTGTTAAGATAGGGGTGTGTGTCCCATTGTTAAGATAGGGGTGTGTGTCCCATTGTTAAGATAGGGGTGTGTGTCCCATTGTTAAGATAGGGGTGTGTGTCCCATTGTTAAGATAGGGGTGTGTGTCCCATTGTTAAGATAGGGGTGTGTGTCCCATTGTTAAGATAGGGGTGTGTGTCCCATTGTTAAGATAGGGGTGTGTGTCCCATTGTTAAGATAGGGGTGTGTGTCCCATTGTTAAGATAGGGGTGTGTGTCCCATTGTTAAGATAGGGGTGTGTGTCCCATTGTTAAGATAGGGGTGTGTGTCCCATTGTTAAGATAGGGGTGTGTGTCCCATTGTTAAGATAGGGGTGTGTGTCCCATTGTTAAGATAGGGGTGTGTGTCCCATTGTTAAGATAGGGGTGTGTGTCCCATTGTTAAGATAGGGGTGTGTGTCCCATTGTTAAGATAGGGGTGTGTGTCCCATTGTTAAGATAGGGGTGTGTGTCCCATTGTTAAGATAGGGGTGTGTGTCCCATTGTTAAGATAGGGGTGTGTGTCCCATTGTTAAGATAGGGGTGTGTGTCCCATTGTTAAGATAGGGGTGTGTGTCCCATTGTTAAGATAGGGGTGTGTGTCCCATTGTTAAGATAGGGGTGTGTGTCCCATTGTTAAGATAGGGGTGTGTGTCCCATTGTTAAGATAGGGGTGTGTGTCCCATTGTTAAGATAGGGGTGTGTGTCCCATTGTTAAGATAGGGGTGTGTGTCCCATTGTTAAGATAGGGGTGTGTGTCCCATTGTTAAGATAGGGGTGTGTGTCCCATTGTTAAGATAGGGGTGTGTGTCCCATTGTTAAGATAGGGGTGTGTGTCCCATTGTTAAGATAGGGGTGTGTGTCCCATTGTTAAGATAGGGGTGTGTGTCCCATTGTTAAGATAGGGGTGTGTGTCCCATTGTTAAGATAGGGGTGTGTGTCCCATTGTTAAGATAGGGGTGTGTGTCCCATTGTTAAGATAGGGGTGTGTGTCCCATTGTTAAGATAGGGGTGTGTGTCCCATTGTTAAGATAGGGGTGTGTGTCCCATTGTTAAGATAGGGGTGTGTGTCCCATTGTTAAGATAGGGGTGTGTGTCCCATTGTTAAGATAGGGGTGTGTGTCCCATTGTTAAGATAGGGGTGTGTGTCCCATTGTTAAGATAGGGGTGTGTGTCCCATTGTTAAGATAGGTGTGTGTGTCTCATTGTTAAGATAAGGGTGTGTGTCACATTGTTAAGATAGGGGTGTGTGTCCCATAGTTAAGATAGGGGTGTGTGTCTCTTTGTTAAGATAGGGGTGTGTGTCCCATTGTTAAGATAGGGGTGTGTGTCCCATTGTTAAGATAGGGGTGTGTGTCCCATTGTTAAGATAGGGGTGTGTGTCCCATTGTTAAGATAGGGGTGTGTGTCCCATTGTTAAGATAGGTGTGTGTGTCCCATTGTTAAGATAAGGGTGTGTGTCCCATTGTTAAGATAGGGGTGTGTGTCCCATAGTTAAGATAGGGGGGTGTGTCCCTTTGTTAAGATAGGGGTGTGTGTCCCATTGTTAAGATAGGGATGTGTGTCCCATTGTTAAGATAGGGATGTGTGTCCCATTGTTAAGATAGGGGTGTGTGTCCCAGTGTTAAGCTAGGGGTGTGTGTCCCATTGTTAAGATATGGATGTGTGTCCCATTGTTAAGATAGGGGTGTGAGTCCTATTGTTAAGATAGGGGTGTGTGTCCCTTTGTTAAGATAGGGGTGTGTGTCCCATTGTTAAGATAGGTGTGTGTGTGCTATTGTTAAGATAGGGGTGTGTGTCCCATTAATAAGATAGAGATGTGTGTCCCATTGTTAAGATAGGGGTGTGTGTCCCATTGTTAAGATAGGGGTGTGTGTCCTATTGTTAAGATAGGGGTGTGTGTCCCATTGCTAAGATAGGGGTGTGTGTCCCATTGTTAAGATAGGGGTGTGTGTCCCATTAATAAGATAGGGGTGTGTGTCCCATTGTTAAGATATGGATGTGTGTCCCATTGTTAAGATAGGGGTGTGAGTCCCATTGTTAAGATAGGGGTGTGAGTCCCATTGTTAAGATAGGTGTGTTTGTCCCGTTGTTAAGCAGTTGACGGATGCATAATTTAGCCAGGTGTAGGCTAGGGGTACAGTCTCTCGACGTCACTGAAACTAATACATATGTATGGCGAAAATGATAGCAATATTGTGACCCTCTGTGGCAATGAATTATCTCAATGTTGCTCAAAACTAACCAATCAATTAAAATAAAAAATACTGTATTTAGAAAAAGGACACCATTGCTAACATTATTCATGAATTTTCAGTACAAATACTATCGGTATTTCTTAGTTCGCCAATGCAAGAAAATAATAAATAAATAATGCAAAATAATCACAAAATTAGAAATAGGTTGTTATCTCTGCATATTGCCTGTCCATGGTCGGCGTTGCTGCTCAATAACATTATTGCGTTAGCTTTGATTAACGGGATGACGATTAAACACTTGAAAAGTTTTATTCTCAGCCTGTTTCCTTTTAACCCTTTCACCCCTATATAACTTTAGTAAACTCGTCCATGCTTTGATCTGGATGAGTCCATTATGGTCTACAGTGGTGAAAGGGTTAAGGGATTTTAGTAACACCGACGAGTCCTAGAAGAGCGAAACAGCTGAATGATGTAGCGTTATTCAATTCGTCATACTTTACCCATTAACACATGTACAGGTGCGATCACATGTATTATGGTCATCTTTCAACCTCTCCTGATATTGTTTTATCTTTAGTGTTTGATTGTTAGAGCTGGGTTGATATCAGGACCTGCTCTCTACCGAAATGAATAGAAAAGAGGTTACAGAAGATCGGTCTGGATGTCAGGAAAAAGAAAAGCCCGAATTTGAGTTAAAAATGCAACCGTATGATGGATTTAATTATCCGGTCGAGATGCATAACGTAGCGGATCAACTACGTAACATACGGGACATGACACTGAGGGACGATGACATCTTTATTACGTCATACCCTAAGTCAGGTAAATTAATTATAAACCAGTAATATTTTGATTCCTAACTAATTGATTTCTTCGTACCAATTTTATTAGTCGCTTTCAACCAGACGATTGATCACTCGGCGTAGCTTGCGCAGACAACAAGAGTCTGGTTGACAGAGACTACAATTTTATCAGAGGATCTGAGTAATCCATTCTGCTATATTTTCATTTCAAATGTTATTGTTTGTATTAAATAGGTTGGACACCAAGCAATGTACGCTTAAGTCTTTTAACATTTACCATTTTTCTCTGTGTTACTTATATCACACAATATCGGTTCCTAAGTGACTGGGGATTTCGATTTGTTATTGGTTACACATAACTCCTTACCTGACGTAACATGTCAATTTATCTTTGCCTAGGTGAGTGTATCTATCCAGATTTTTGTGTATAATATGTACAAAACAGACAACTTCCTGCTAATTTTAATTCCCTCCTAATATACTGATACGATTATATGAATTCCACATATTTGTGATCCCATCATATTATATCCTTGATATGATTCCTTGGTGACTTGCAGAATCGTTTACTACCACCCAGTTGAATTGAGTGGTTGCTATGGTTACAGGTACACATTGGATTAACGAGGTTGTGTACATGCTGTTACGAGGCCACGCCTCCTACTGCCGAAAACACTGCTGGCTGGACGCTGATGGCTTTGACACCACTGACAACGCCCCGTCGCCAAGGATAATCATTACTCACGTACCGATCAAATGGTTACCATGGCGACTAAGTCAAGGGCGTGTCAAGGTCATTTACATGACGAGGAACCCCAAGGATGTCGTTGTTTCTCACTACAACTTCGGCGTGAATCTGGCTGCTACGGCGTTCGATGGAGAGTTCAATTACTCCTACATTGATAAATTTCTCAATGGAGATGGTATGTTGCAGCCGAAACAAATCAGTCGGTAATTAAAAATCGAATCAATTAATGAAACGAATGATTGCTCAAGTTTGCCGGAAAAGACAAGGAACTACGAATCAAATCATTCATATCAATTTCATTTTATTTTGTTTAAAATTATTCTATTTTTCATTTTGGGCGCATTTCTTAATTAATATGTACTTTCTTACAAAGTTTGGAATAAGTTCAAAATCTTTTGATATATAATGTGTAAGTGTTTGTCTATATATAGATCAGCAGTCTCTCAGGAAGCCAGACATCGGTTTTGTCTATATATAGATCAGCAGTCTTTCAGGAAGCCAGATATCAGTTTTGTCTATATATAGATCAGCAGTCTCTCAGGAAGCCAGACATCAGTTTGGTCTATATATATAGATCAGCAGTCTCTCAGGAAGCCAGACATCAGTTTTGTATATATATAGATCAGCAGTCCCTCAGGAAGCCAGACTTCAGTTTTGTCTATATATAAAGCAGCAGTCTCTCAGGAAGCAAGACATCAGTTTTGTATATATATAGATCAGCAGTCTTTCAGGAAGCCAGACATCAGTTTTGTCTATATATAGATCAGCAGTCTCTCAGGAAGCCATACATCAGTTTGGTCTATATATAGATCAGCAGTCCCTCAGGAAGCCAGACATCAGTTTTGTCTATATATAGATCAGCAGTCACTCAGGAAGCCAGACATCAGTTTTGCCTATATATAGATCAGCAGTCTCTCCGAAAGCCAGACATCAGTTTTGTCTATATATAGATCAGCAGTCTCTCAGGCAGCCAGACATCATTTTTGTCTATATAAAGATCAGCAGTCTCTCAGGAAGCCAGACATCAGTTTTGTCTATATAAAGATCAGCAGTCTCCCAGGAAGCCAGACATCAGTTTTGTCTATATATAGATCAGCAGTCTCTCAGGAAGCCAGACATCAGTTTGTTCTATATATAGATCAGCAGTATCTCAGGAAGCCAGACATCAGTTTTGTCTATATATAGATCAGCAGTATCTCAGGAAGCCAGATATCAGTTTTGTCTATATATAGATCATCAGTCTCTCAGGAAGCCAGACCTCAGTTTTGTCTATATATAGATCAGCAGTCTCTCAGGAAGCCAGACATCGGTTTTGTCTATAGATGTGTGAACGTGTTAAAATATAATCTTCATAAAATGTTCATAATTTCATTATTGTTGTCTGCAGGTAAATCCTGTAGTTCATGTTGCAACATAAGACAATATTAACACCTGGTTGACCCCCCACCCCCTCCCCCAGGTGCGATAATTGTTTTATTGAATATATTCTGCCTTTGATATAACAAGAAACGAACATACTTCCTCCTCTGTATTTCGTTATCCGTCTTGGGTACCTTTCCCGTATACATCACAATGCCGTCATTGATAACTATTGGATATTTTATTTACAGTTAATACATTATCATTGTATCTGACCTTCTTTGACCAGTTTTGCGGTCTTGTTTATTCCACACAGTACCGTATGATTCCTGGTTCCGAAGCGTTCTTGGATGGGAACAGTTCCCAGACACACACCCCAAAGTGCCATTTATGATGATGAACTATGAAAATATGAAATCAGTAAGTAAAATCTATTTATAAACATTGCCTCGACTATCATAAATATAGAAATCCGTAACAGTCGCCATTGAAAACTACACTCCGGAATACTGCAAACGAACGTTGCCCGGTGGTTGGGTGGCGCAGTGGATAGCAAACTAGCCTTTCACCAACACGGCCGGGGTGAATTCTTGAACGTACATGAAGAAGGTATTTGGCCACTTGCCCGATCACTTGTGTTTTCTCTTGGTAGACATATATATCGTACCAGACATATTCAGAGAAAAACAGCGTAAAACGGAAGATGCCCTTTGTACCTAACATCTTTTAACTTTAACAAATAATTTGCTTTTTAAATAGTATTACAAGTAAACCACGCGAGCTTCACGGTTACAACGTTTGTGATGGAAATAGCAAAGACGCACATGTTTAAAAGTTAATTGATTGTATACATTTTAAAATATTTTTTAGAATCTTCGACAAGAAGTTGAGAAAGTGGCTATTTTTCTAGGAAAGGCATTCAACGAAGATTTGCTGGACAAAATTGTAGAGAGCTGTTCGTTTTCAAAGACCAAACAAGACAAACAGGAAAACCCCGACCCTCGCTTCAAAACATTTGCTAGGGATGGATCTCAAATATTGTATAGAAAAGGTGAGGGTTATTTCAGATGAAAAATAAATAAGTACAAAAATGTAAATAATGCCGAAGGTCTGCTTTAAAAACAGGAAAACTAGGGCACAATATGAACAAAAGAATGACGTAGATAGGGAGACCATTGAAAAGGTACATGGATAAATGTTCTAATCGTTTTCTTCAGATTGGTAGGTATGGATTATTAAAAGATTCTTGTAACACAACCAATAAGTGTTTCTATGTGACGTTTCGATGACTAGTATGTTATGTACTCTGTCACCTCCACCAGATAAATGACCAGCGAAGCGTTTGTACACAAAGGTGTAAATGTGTACGAGTTGTCCACAAATCAATGTCGAGTCGGCTACGCTGTAAGCGTGGGTACACAAAGGTGTAAATGTGTACGAGTTGTCCACAAATCAATGTCGACTCGGCTACGCTGTAAGCGTATGTACAATTAGTTGCTATACATGTATATAATATTATGTTGTGGACAACTCGTACACAAGGAAAATAGGACAAAGTGCTCAGAAAGAGCAAGCTTTTTCTGCTTCATCAACGAAACCTGTCATATAAATATATGTCAACTCCACAAAAAGGACAGTAGCAACGTAGGAAAGCAACATATCTCCGATAAAATGAGAGCATTTCGCTCAATCTGTATTTAAGAAATAAAATCTAAGAATACATTTCCGATATATTGATGGTGTTATGAATAATGTAACTTTATCATTCACAATGAACAAGCGTTAGAGATTAGTCATAAATTAGGGATTTTACGCACCCGTCAATCTGTGTGTACAGTATTTAGAAGATTTCGATATGTTTGTCCCCTAGCATCACCAATAAGTCCTATAAAGACGAAACAGCTGTGTGGTGCTGGGTAATTTATGTTTGACTTAACGAATCGATTACCAACATTTAAAGGTGCAGTTATCTGTGATTGTGTAACGTTCATCTATCTTTACCAAGTGGTAGCCGTCGGTATTTTCCGTGAATGTTTCCGGAAAGTGCCGACTGTTTCGGATTGGTTTCTTTGTTTCACGGGCTATAACTGTATACTCACACATTAAACCCTTTTTTGTTACAGGAGAAGTGGGGGACTGGAAGAATTGGTTCACAGTTACAGACAGTGAAAATTTTGACAAAGTCTACAAAGAGAAAATGGCGGAGTCAAAACTCACATTTAGATTCTCAGTGTGACCGAACGTTGTTCACAACATTCGAGATTGTTATAATTACCAAGATTAACTATTATTATAACTTACCTAGAATAAAATATAAGCATCTTCTTAATCTCCGGGATCAGAAAACCGTCTGGGACATATTAATAATAATAATAATATTTATTCAGGTAAAATGCAAATAATACACTTCTATCACATTTTGCAGATTGGACATAAATATACATATATTATCACAGAATGAGATCTTCTTAAATAAGTTATTTATGCCATAAGATTAGAAGTCAGTCAGGTGTTAAAACTGGATTGGATTAGATTAATATAGGCCTTTCCTGGGATGACCCATAAAGCCACATTGTGAATTTATATTGACCAAATTACACTTTTGCTAATGTATTTTTGTCTTGATAATTTTTCTAAATGTACTAGAACACATTTAAGAAATGAATGTTTTATCAAATGTTGTTATAGTCCCATATTACACATTGCTATTGATGACAAACTTGATAAACCGCGATAGAACTTTATTCACATTTGAACAAAAGTCAATGAAGATTCACAATACAAGGGCTTACCCACTCAGATCAGCTCTCATTCACAATACAAGGGCTTACCACTCAGATCAGCTCTCATTCACAATTCAAGGGCTTACCCACTCAGATCAGCTCACAACACAATACAAGGGCTTACCACTCAGATCAGCTCTCAACACAATACAAGGGCTTACCACTCAGATCGGCTCTCAACACAATACAAGGGCTTACCACTCCGATCAGCTCTCATTCACAATATAAGGGCTTAACCACTCAGATCAGCTCTCATTCACAAAACAAGGGCTTACCCACTCAGATCAGCTCTCATTCCCAATACAAGGGCTTACCACTCAGATCGGCTCTCAACACAATACAAGGGCTTAACCACTCAGATCAACTCTCAACACAATACAATGGCTTACCACTCATATCAGCTCTCATTCACAATACAAGGCCTTACCCACTCAGATCAGCTCTCATTCCCAATACAAGGGCTTCCCACTCAGATCAGCTCTCAACACAATACAGGGGCTTACCCACTCAGATCAGCTCTCAACACGATACAAGGGCTTACCCACTCAGATCGGCTCTCAACACAATACAAGGGCTTACCCCTCAGATCAGCTCTCATCCCCAATACAAGGGCTTACCCACTCAGATCAGCTCTCATTCCCAATACAAGGGCTTACCACTCAGATCTGCTCTCATTCACAATTCAAGGGCTTACCCACTCAGATCAGCTCTCAACACGATACAAGGGCTTACCCACTCAGATCGGCTCTCAACACAATACAAGGGCTTAACCACTCAGATCAACTCTCAACACAATACAATGGCTTACCACTCAGATCAGCTCTCAACCCAATACAAGGGCTTACCCCTCAGATCAGCTCTCATCCCCAATACAAGGGCTTACCCACTCAGACCAGCTCTCATTCACAATACAAGGGCTACCCACTTAGGTCAGGTCTCATTCACAATACAAGGGCTTACTCACTCAGATCAGCTCTCATTCACAATATAAGGGCTTAACCACTCAGATCAGCTCTCATTCACAAAACAAGGGCTTACCCACTCAGATCAGCTCGCAACACAAGACAAGGGCTTACCACTCAGATCAGCGCTCAACACAATACAAGGGCTTACCACTCAGTTCAGCTCTCATTCACAATACAAGGGCTTACCCACTCAGATCAGCTCTCAACACAATACAAGGGCTTACCCACTCAGATCAACTCTCAACACAATACAATGGCTTACCACTCAGATCAGCTCTCAACACATTTTGATTTCAAGACCTTTAATATCTAAATCTTTTCACGGTTTCCTATATTCCTGCAAGTCAAACAGCTTTTCATAAACTGTCCGTTTTATACACTTTACCGGTAAATACTTGATACCCGATATGTATAAGGTGTTCAGTGCTTTTGTATATGAAAGTTAGTAGAATTTGTAATTATGATAATATTAAAGATTTGAACATTTACCTAGTTTTCAGTTTTTAAGCAGTTTCATTTTTTACACAAACAATGCATTTGTGACCGGAGGTCAAAATAAAGTACGACTATTGAACACAGGACTGTTTTGAAGATAGCATTAGTCTTACGGACACGATCTTAACGTATGTTTTGTTGTATCTATTACATTGTTTTAAAGGTGCGATCACGTGTGTGTTTGACGTTCATTAGTCAGGAATTTAACATTTTCAATACGTTCTTGAATCCAAGATCTCCATTTAAAAAAACAGCAACTTTATTTGCTTTATGTCAGATATCTTAAATTCAAAAAATATTTATTTTGTCCAAAGCTCTAGGGTGAGGGCACCCAAAATGAAACACGTTTTAAAGAAAAATATTGATATTTCCTGTAAAGTTTCTGAAAAATCAAGTTTTTACTGAAATGAAATAATACATGTCTTTAGCCTTCATCTTATGTATTTCTTGGGTATCAACAGCACGTGTGTCTATTTATAGAGCTCATGGAAGTGCATCAGATTCACTTGGAATTTTTAGCTGGTCGAGTACCCAAAATAAATAACTTCATCATAGAAGTCTGTTTATAAAACTAAATGACAGCATTTAAATGATTTTCTTCGTTTCAAAAAGGTTTTGACAATATCCGACAAATTTTACTAATTTATTCCCTAAACTATTCGTTTGAACATATAGTTTTCCATAGTTATAGCACGGACTTAGATAATCTAATTCCGCGGTTATAGTTTATGTTTTCGCATCGTACTGTTTCACGGGATTTTTTTTCATTTCATTTTTTTAATATTTCAATTGAGTTTAAGAGCAATGTTCAAGAGGTAGGCATATGATATTTGCTCAAAATGCATAAAACTATATAAATCTTGATTTATAAAACGTACGATTCATATTTATAGCAAAAAAAAATAAAAAAATGCCGAGTCATTTAGATCAAAAGTGTTCCATTTTGGGTACCGTTTCATTTTGGGCACCCTCACTCTAAGGGTAACGGCTCTACAAAACCATTGAAACATTCACACGTTAACTCAGGAAAACTCGGTCTAATCGGTACGTTTGACGTTTCAGACACGGCAGATTTCTTTTTTAATTTCCAAAGTGTGGAATTCAAAACTGCAAGGCCTGTAGTATACTTACTACTGATATGAATAACAGCAGTTCCCTCCCTTATATAAACTATTGTACCAGACTTTTGACAGATATATCAAAAATAATTTTATGATAATAGTGCTATTTATGAACATTTATTTAACATTTCATCTCATTATACGAGAGCATTTTACCGAAAGTCGATCTAAACCCCTAAAACATGTAAAATTACTCTTAACAGCTTAGTTTAGTCATAATAGAGATGTAACAAATTATCAGGTTCCTGTTGTTCAAATCTAACATACCACCGTACTACAGATACATAAGTACCCCACTAATTTTATTCTAAACCAATTGCTTCCAAACTTTTCAGCTACAAGCAGACTTCACAAGAATCCCGCCGGCTCTTCTAATTGTTCAGCCGAGCATTGTTAAGCATTCAAACCCAACGCAATGACATCGCTACGTTTGAAGACCTTACGTACACTCTAGAGAAACCGTTGTTCGGCCCGTACACCAAACTGAAATAGGTTAAGGACGAAATTGTGATAACGGGTTTCCTGGTTGATAATATCTGTGTTGAGTTTCATGGCAGGTGTCTAGCAGACTGTAGGCATTCCGAAGGGAACAATCTGTGCCCCTCTTCTGACCGATGCGTTCTTTTGTTTTATGATGAAGCGGCATTTATTGAACATCAGTTCAGAACTGGTAACAAAATCTTAGCAAAGTAGTTCAATTTCACATTCAGATATATCGACGACGTGCTCTCTTTAAACAATGAAAAAATAATTGACCACGTAGATCGTAAACACTCTCTTGATCTTAAAATCAAGATCACAACAGACTCTTCTACTTTATCGTCTTTCCTTGGTCTTTATAAACAGTTCACAACATGGCCAACAGGGCTAGCTTACTACTAAGCTGAGACGATTTTGGTTTTCCTATAGTGAACTTTCCTTTTCTTGATAGTAAAACCCCAGCTTCCCCAATGTCACAGTTGATTCAGTGTTCATTATGATTTTCGCGATCGATGTTGACTGCTGATGGACAAACTTACAACACAAGGTTTCCAAAGACTATGGGCAATTTTTAAGGTTGCCATCGTGATCTTACCAAGAAAATACTATTTCTTTGCAAGATATAAAAGTTGACGTTTTTGAAAATAAAACCCAAATTATCCATTCTTAGGAAATTCAAACAAAACATCACATTTACAACAAGATCATTTATTACTAAGAAATTGACATGTCATGAGCATTAATTACCACAGAAATAACATACATCCACTTCACAAGAACACTGGGGGAAAACTCATCGTCATTGTACCATAACTGCAAACGTCATGTTACTGTGCTCTGAAGACAGCCTCCCTTTGGCCGAAACATGTCAGCACGTTTGATGTAAATCAAACATTACATTTTTTACCGGATTCAGTGGTAGCTCATCATTTCTTTTTTCATTCTTACATTAAGGTTCAACAAGCCCCCTTAATGATAGTTTAGACGCCAAAAATTTAAACCCCCTCAAACGTTGCACTTAAAACCACCATTTAAACTTCGGAATTCAGATAAGTAGTATGGGTATAACGAACTTGTAGTTTAATTGTGCCTGGTGGGCTAAAAATGGTACAAAGCAACATTCATTTAGTCTGTAATCATTAGCCTTATAATGTCAGACATGGCCCCTCAGGAACTATCAAACAACTACCCGTGAAGCTTCTACACTGCTTTAATTTCTGTTGCATTTACATTATCAAAAATAAATAAATCATTATGTGAATAATTTCCATATCCCCTTTTTATTTCATATGAAAGGGCCAAATTAACGCTGGGCGAGTACAGATTGTACGGGTGAAGGACGAATATCTTAATAGGTAGAATGTATTCTGGTATAAAGTATATATCAAATGAATTTAAAGTATAACATAAAAAACCAATCACTCACACTTTGAAAATCATTTTCCAAGTATTTATTTTGTTTTCATACCTGGCTTGTTTTTACACATTTACTCATATTAAGTTAAAACTCAACACAGAGAAACATATATAATGCGAATCAAACACAACACCCATCACCACATGACCAAGTACCACGGGTAAATCTTCTGCAGCAACTAAATATTCAATGCACAGAAACCATGAACATTGAAAGACAAACAAAAAAAGTAAGAACAAGTTAAAGACATGTACATATATTTTTGTCCCATTTTTCAGCCCTCTCAACAATATAAAAATGTTGTTATATTTTCCAAAAGTGTTTTCCCCTGTTTTCCTGTTATTGTCCTTTACTCCTTTCCTGAAAATGAATTACTTTACTCAGATGAGTGCCAATAAAAAATACTTCTTTTAACAGGAAAATGATGGTCCAATTTAAGAAAAACTAAAACACCCAGAAAATCCTGTTCACCTGTGGTATATAAATAGGTGACAGACTTGAATTTGAATGACCTAAAGCTCATTATTCAATTTAACCCTATAAGCTTTTGATAAAATGAAACATCAGCCTAATATCGAGTCTAGTACACATTTTAACATTATTTCTAGTTGAGCTCCAGGAATTTAACTTATTACCTGTTTTTTGATAAAAACAAATTATTGAACATATTTACAAAAAATAATAATTTAGGGATCGATTTTCGGAGCATGAACATCGTTTTCCCCCCAATTTTTTTGGGTACGCAAAATATTCGAGTAGAAGCTTTTCCAGATTTTCAGCCTCAAAAAGTACCTGCGCAAATTACATAGGTGCACAAATTACATGGGGTTTTACGGTAACTACTTTTATTTACAATTAAAATTCTTTCATTTCTTTTTCATTTGGAAAAAATGAAAGATCCTTTATCTGTATTGCACGTTAAACTCGATGACACAACTTACAAGCACTAGTTTCATTTTGCAGTTTAAATGTTTAAAAATAAAAAATAATAAACACCATGATTTCTTTTTTTTCACACATCGGTCTCCTTAAAAATGTTTTGCACTCTTGCACCCTGAACTGTCTCCATCAAATAAATGTCAAGCATTCCTTCCCTCACAACCAGAGCAGACTCAATTTCATCAGTTGGTTCCTCCCTCACACCCAGAGCAGACTCTATGAAGATTCATCATTTTCCCTCCCTCACACCCCGAGCAGTCTCCATTACACACAAATAGCCATCATTTCGTTCCTCCCTCACACCCTGATGGCGATCAGTCTCCATTACACACAACCAGACATGCTTTCGTTCCACGGACACCAATCTCTACATACACCATTATTTGTTCAATGTTCTCCGGCAGCACCTGTAAATAAATTAAAAACAATAATAATAGCTCACATATAAATAATGCAGGTTAGAGTTATTTCCCTTAAAGATTTTAGTGAATTAACCACTACCTGTATATACTACCAATACATAGATTCCGGTAAGACTTTCCATTGTAACATTAATGAGTTATCTCCCTTAAGAGTGATTTCTAAAGGTTTCTGTTGTTTAATGCATTTCAAAAAGATCTGGACACATTTATGAATTAGCAACAGACTTATATTTTAGTGGTCAGAGATTTTATATTGGGGCCTAATTTTAACCATACACGAGAATAAGAGCATTGAATGCATTAATTATAAAAAAAACCGTGTATATTATGGCGCCATGATTTTCAAAAAAAAAAGTTTTTTCTCTTTATTTTTTTCTGGTAATAATAAGGAAATATGAAATGATTTGGGAAAAATACATCAATCATTCTCTAAGGGGAAGGAGCTGACTTTCTTCCCCAAATGAACTAAAAATTAAATCCACTGAATCTGAAAGTATAAAGGAATGCACAAACTGAAGTAATTGTGATTTATTATTTTAACTTAATTAAAGGGAGATAACTTTGATTAGCATAAAGTGTAAGATATCATCTAACCTGAACGACAAATTAAACGTGTCAAAAAGAAGGTGTTTTATCATACTAAGTGAGCTTATAGTAGATCAACATTAAACTCAAAAATCAAAGAGATCTTTAGGATCTGATTTCATTTTCTTTATATATTTTATTTCCTCATATTCTCCTCTTTCAAATTCCTTAATGAACTATTCCAACCTTTGAATTAGAAGAGTTCAAATGTGTCTTTAGGGGTGAATGAGATAAGAAGGTAGAGTGGAATGGTGAGTTAGGTGCTGTGAAAAAAATCCTTCATATCAGAAACATTTTCAGTAAGAAAGGCCCGCTAGTGCTGTGTATGTAGAGATCAAATGAGTCCAGACCCTTCACTTTACTCATTCACCCCTAAAATTTTGAGATGAACAATTCCAACCTTTGAATTGGAAGAATTTAAGTGTGTCTTCAGGGGTGAAAGAGTTGAAATACTCACTTTTTCCATCACAAGCAACAATTTTGACTTTGTCAACTTTAGCGAATTCGTGCACTTCTCGGAATTCAACATTGTTCAGCACAAAGGTCCACACATTGTCACAGAATCTGTAGGTGTTCAGCTTACCCTGTCAAAAAGAATTTATAAATTCATATTTTCCCTTTAAGAAATACTGTGAATTTATGCTTGGACTTCTGTAATATAATGCATTTTCTGTGTATACATATCAATATCAAAATATTGTAATTCTGTGTATAAATATGATGTAAACCAATTTCTAACTATCAGTATTTTAGGCAAAAAACCCCCCAAAAAATAGTGTGTTTCAGGTTTACTGACCTTCCCTAGATTATACTACCGACCCTAGATATTTTATCACCTACTTGTATCTTAGATTAACTTAATAGCCAGGCAAAGCTAACAGCCTCTCATTAAAATGTACTTTCTATAAACAAGAAGCCCAGGTGGCCTGTATCGCTCACCTGGATATCTAAGCAATCATGGCAAAATATTCTCCAAATAAGATCCAAGGTAATGGGCCAGACTCCTAGGCCAATCCTTGTAGCATATCTGTACTAGATTTTTCATGCCCAGCAATTTTATGTATGGTTATGGGGTCGGAATCTCAACTGTTTCCAAGCTGTGACTCAGAAACTAGGTCCCTAGGGTTGTGGCAAGACCCCAGGATTAATTCTAATATCATGACTGCCATCGTCTCTTTATGATCAGCATTTGTTTATATAGTTTTGGGGTGGGGATCTCAACCGTTTCAAAGTTATGAGATAATGACCCAGGGGTTAAGTCTCCAAGGGTGGGGCAGACCGTGGAGCCATCCTGAAAGCATATGTGCATTCGTCTCTTTATACTCAGCAATTGTATATATATATATGGTTATAGGGTGGGGATCTCAACTGTTTCCAAGCTGTGACTCGGAAACTTGGTCCCTAGAGATTTGGCCAGACCCCAGGGTCTATTATTACATCATGACTGCATTTGTCTCTTTATGCCCAGCATTTGAATATATAGTTTTGGGGTGGGCTAAAAATTTACATAAAAGTAAATTTATTTGCCTACCGACCTATCCTATTTTGTCAGGTATGTTACCTGAAACAAACTGATATTTTTTGGCCTTAGTATGATTTTAATGATTTAATGAAAATCTTAAATCTGTGCCAACCAGATGATATATGATTGCCATTTGATAACATTGTGACAACAATTTCTTTTACAAATGAGCACCTCTTTTTCTTATGGCAAATATTGGGATATGCATCACATTACATTCCTTCTGTATTCAAAGGCAGTCAAACTGGCTTACAAGATTTGAACTTGCAACAAAGTCTGTATTTTTTCTTAAATAACACTATTTATATTATAGCAATGAATCCAACCTTTGTTAGTCTTATTTCTCGCTGTTTTGAAGTGTAATCAATGTCTGTTTATTATGAAAATAAATAAAATTATAGTTAATAATTGGAGTGAAAAATAAACCTGTACATTAACACTGCTACAGGTTTCAAAAATTAAATTGAAAACAATTTTTTTTTTGAATTTGGCAACATCACCATGCAGTGTACAGTGTATAAATAATTATGCAATCTTTATAGATTTTAAGTAAAATTTCATAGCCTGTGTCACCTCATACAGGATCTCAATGATGTTTTTACATTCTAACATTCGTGAGTCATAGTCCCGTTTCGAGTTTTTCGTGACAATCCCACATCCTGGTACACTCCAGGTGTCTTGTGACAAATGATGTCATACTGGATCAGGACTTGTTCTTTAACAAATAGACTTTTCACAGTAAAGAATATAAACATTAATTGAATAGAATTTTCACTCTTGTTGCTTCAACACGCTGAAGTTTATGTCACTTGTACTACACCTGGCTTAGAGGAACAATATTTACAGTAAAACATTTGAATAGCTTTTTACACAAATAAAATTTTCAATCTTCAAAGTAGGCCAGTAGGACTAATTTGGAGCTATTTTAAAGTCCAAATTAAACGAAACACACAGTGTATTTCAACAATTTGACAAATAATATCCCAAAACCTGTTTGGCATAAACTGTCAAACACATCACATAATCATCACATAATCTATAACCCAATCAAGGAGGAAGAAAAAAGCCCGGGAGTACTGTGGTCATTCAGGCGTGACCATCAATGACTCTTCTATTGAGTTGGCACAATTAAGGCTTGTGACACCATCTCAGCTGGTAAGTTTACAGTTCTATATGTAGGTAACATTATATAACACCTCCTGTAGCAGTAAAATCTACCCTGATTCACTCAAGCATGACCATCTCTGATCCTACTGTTAGTGACACCTAAAGATTTCTGACCAATACGTAATGTGACATTGTGGTGGTAATGATAATAATTGTACAGAACTTACCTTGACAGTTATTCTGTTTTTCACCCTATTGGCTAGAGCGGTGTTGATTGCCTTGTCAAACTGGATCAGGACCTTCAACGCAAGCTGGGGCGATATCTGGCCATACTGTGAAACCAGAAACACCTTTGTATATATATATATCATACTGTGAAACCAGAAACACCTTTGTATATATATATATCATACTGTGAAACCAGAAACACCTTTGTATATATATACAGTATCATACTGAATTTACTGTTATATTGATTTGAAGAAGAAATTGTTTTCTGGTCTTCTATCAAAGCAGCTAAGATTTAAATGTTATATCTGTGATAATTCTGCAGATCTGACCATGTGACATTGTATTTCTCACTGATGTGATCATGTTTCTCCACAAGACATTTTCGATTTAATGGATTTAGCAGCCATCAACATTAATTTGTGCAAAACAATCTGATAGTGTCATCAACAGGCTGAGGATTATAAGCCAGTACAACTTTTCAAGGTGACAATTTATGAGCAATTTACACAAGTTGAAACTTTGTGTTTTAAGTCGAGACTTCTGAAATACATCAAAATGATTGCTCTCCAAACTTTCAGCACCAACGTTCATTTTAAGCAAACATGTGACTGCATCTCTAACACAGTCACAGGCTTCAGCATCAACACGACAGCACAAGGTATGTTCTACTTCGTCTAGTGTAAGTCCTCCAGCAATAATAGTGTAGGTGGCCCTCACTGTGGTGATAGGGAGTAAGAACCTGGATTGTTGTGGTGTTAAGGGGCGAAACCATTTAGGTTAGGGGAAGAAGTGTGGCAGATTTTAATTGTTTATAATGGTGGCCTTCTAGCTTCAAGCTAGATGGAAATTCCCTTCGGCTCAATTAGTAGAGTGGCACACTGGGAAGCTGTGGGTTGCAGAGTCAATCCCAGAAGTAAGCAAACTACTGTACTGTTTTACCTCTTACAAATATGTGGCCCTCACTGTGGTGACAGGGAGTACAAATAGTGTAGGTGGCCCTCACTGTGGTGACAGGGAGTACAAATAGTGTAGGTGGCCCTCACTGTGGTGACAGGGAGTTGTGGTGTCTGGGGTGAACACATCTAAAAAAGGGGGATAACTGTGGCAGATTTTAATTTTACATAGAATTACAGTTTCCTTCTTGTTTCAAGCTAGAGGAAATTTCCCTTTCCCATTAGCTCAATCAGAAGAGCACTAGACTTAGTACAGTAGCTGTGGGTTGTGGGCTCGATCCCTTGTGGAACCACACAACTTCCTTATTAATAAGTTACTTGTTATACAGTGATTTTTTTCATCATGTCCTTTTTGTTACAGTATCGATTCATATGATAATTAGGTTTCTCTTTTCCTTGGTTACCGTTCAAAGTAACACATTATAATATATTATCCATTTAAATAATGGGGAAATAGAAAGCAGGGGACAGCATGTCACCCATGTGGGCTCATAGCCATTTAAATGCAGGGGTCTATTTGGTAAGCACGAACCCATGAACATTTACAAGTGATTCTTTTTTTAATTTAAAACTGCAAGTTGTCAAATAAAGAAATACATGCCATTATCTATATACCATTAGGTAGGGGGTGGGGCTAATACTATATAGGCTTATATATATCTAACCGGTAAATTACAGGTCTATTTGGTTAGCACCATAACTAAGGACAACTGATTTTGGTGTTAAAACTATATTTAAAGCAAAACATACATAACTTACCGTTAAATAGTGAATTTGATAAGGATAATGTAACAAAGGCAACACACAATCACCTTTCATGAAAAAAAACATGTTCCGTTAGTCTTGTAAACAAGGGATTTTTACGCTCATAATCTTATCGCGACAAAATGACTGTGCCTTCTGTGTTATATACCTGAATAAGTTCATCTAAACTTTCCTGAAGGGTATGCCCCAGCGTTGTGTTTCTGTAAAGTTGGTAGCTCATGTTGTATTTTGCTGAATATACAATCGATAAAAGTTTCCTTGCTTTCAAACGCAGTGTTGATGATGATTTTATAGATTTTTAACTACTTCCGGTTATTGACTTCTGATAAAACGTGTTATTTTCAATATGTCAAGTAATGTTTCTGTGTATAATTAGTTCATCTTATCAAATTTGTGCGATGTGAAATTAATAATGATGCCAATAAATTTGTATTTGTGACATTCAAGCGTTTATTTGACGCCGTATCAGAAACAAATCACGTGATTTCTGTGTTTTTGGCCAAAATGGCCGAAGGTGGTGGAAACGAGAAGCAGTTCCTGGGAAAATTTGTACAGAAACAGACGAAGTATGGAACTACAACCAAATTGGCTCCAAAAAGTACGACATACATCAAACACAAGATATCGGAAAAGGACACAATGATGGGTATTGCTCTTAGATATGGAATAACGGTGAGTTTATTAGTTGACACCAGACACTACTGGACACGGAATATTATCATTCACTGTCAAAATCACAAGACGAACTGTGTGCCTCTGGGCAGATTCTGTTTCCGGGTGTTTTAATAAGACGATATATACTAGGGTTCGCGCGTCAGTCATAACGTGTCAGATAAGATAGGATCTAAAAGGAATATACCATAATATATACAACCTGATAAATTGATTTATACTGTTTCGGTATTGATGACACTTGACACATATTCTATACAGTAACCACAGGGGCTAGCAACGATTTATATGGGATAAGAATAAATCGGTATTTTATTATGGTATATCCCTTTTAGATCCTATCTTATCTGACACGTTATGACTGACGCGCTTACCCTATTATATATTGTCTTATGTAACTGTGCATAACACATGTTATGTACAGCTACATTTTTTTTTTCGCAATTTTTTTTCTTATCCCAAAAAAATCGTTGCTAGCCCCTGTGCATTAACCAAAGGTGTTTGAAATTCTGACTGTAAATTGAGATAAAGATCATATAAAAAGTAAGAATTTCCCTTTAATTCAGTGGTAGAGCATCCGACTAGGAACCTGGGGTTCGTTCCCTGGTGGATGCACACTATTCTCGTTCCCTGGTGTATGTGGCCCTCCCTGTGGTGACAGGGAATTAGAACCTGGACTGTTATGTTCGAGGGCGAACACATTTAAAAAGGGGGGAGTAGTGTGGCAGGTTTTAATTACAAATACAAAGGATTAAGGTTGCCTTCTAGATTCGAGCTAGAGGGAATTTCCCTTTAGCCCAGTGGTAGAGCATCCGACAAGGAACCTGGAGATTGAGGGTTCGATCCCTAGTGGAAGCACACTATTTTTTTTCCTGTTACAGATACATATGTATATATCTATACCATTTACTTGTGTTGCAAAACAAATGTTCTATATCACATATGAAAAACGTTCACTCATGTCAGGTCATTTGATCATGATTGATAAAATATTCTACAATTTACTACAGTTTCTTAAAACAAAAAGATCTAAAATGTGTACCTCTTCAGACACAACTACATGTATCCTGTTATAAGTTATATATATTAAACATCCAATACACAAATTGTGTTATAAACATCCAAAAGTGTATTGTACGTTATGACATTTAAGAGATCGATACATTTTATTTTCAAGAGAATTATAATTAGTAGGCTTTATCAATTAGGATATTTAATAATATTGTTTAAATTATCAAATCGTTTCTTGTATTATAAATATAGATTTATTTTATCCCTATCTTCAGTCTTTGTTGACGGTTAATGTCCATTCTGTGTACACACCTGGTATAAAGCTGTATTTTGACATTTTCATTAAGTTAACATAATAACTTTCTTAATTAGAAACTTAAACAATCACATTACATTGTATTTACTAGCAGCCAGCAGACTGTCTATTTTACACCACATAACATTTTTCAATGGGCCAGTTTCTATAAATAATAATAATATGAGGTTCTTATATATTCTGCTTTATCACAACCTAGTTCATATGTTGTCTCAAAGCGGTTAACAAATTATTATCCATTTAAAATTTTGTCAAATATTATGGGCCCCATGTTCATTGTATGACTCCTGCCTTTTATAACCCTTAACAGGTTCTAGTACAAAAGACTACTTTTAATTGATTTTTCATGAAAAAACATTTACAATTATCCTCTAATGAGCTGAGTAGTAATAACCATATCTGAAATTTATGATTAGGAAAATATAGATTAAAGACAGAAATTTTCTCAAAGGATGGTTAAGATTTCAGAAATACTTGTTAACCCATTCACCCCTTTAAGACACATTTGAACTCTTCCAATTCTAAGGAAAGAATAGTTCTTTATGAAATTTCAGGGGTCAATTTAAGTTAATAGCCATGAAAAACACTGAGGCTCAACTTTGAAGCTATCAGCTGGTAGTGTTGGATCATGATCTGTAAAGGACCAGTGAGTTTACACTGTCGTCTTACTTGAATGAATTTACTCTTATGTTGTGTATGGTAACTCTTGATTGTTCATTATTTTGACAAAAGAAGATGAACATGGTACTGTGTTTCCCATTTTCATATCACTTAGATGTACTGATCACACCAACAGTAACCCAGAAAATCTCATGATACTGACATACACACAGCAATCGTAGATGAATAGTAAATTTGCCTTGGTATTGTTGCTGAACATTTATCCATTTCTATCACAATGATTATCCATTATTAACACAAAGGGGTGCCAAAGAAAAGGAATGAAAGGAGAAAAGACCCATTGTATTCATTTTGATGGTAAAGTGACAACACTGATCAATTCCTTTTCTTATTTCAACATCTTTGATGTCTAATAAGGGATTCAAATGCTGAGTTTTAAAATTAAATACAAGAATTTGAAAAGTACAATGTACTTGGTGTTAGATGAGATGTTATGATGGTTGAAAATAATGGAAAAATTCTTGAAAAATATTTTGTTTCCTTTTTATTTACTTGAAATCAATGTAAACATGGGAGAAAAGGCACTTATAAGTTTTGTATATAGGCCTTTTGACATGTACATGCTTTCAAGAATGGAGTGATGATAACAAATATTCTTATTATTTGTACTGATTTACTTGATACTGTCCTTCGTGCAGCTGTGATGACTGATTTAGGCCTACATGTATATCTAGGTCATCAGCTTCAGCCAGTTGTGTGAATACATGTACATACCAATGTTGTACTGGCATGTGTTTGTAGCCTAGCACACTGAAACTGTCAGACATATGCATATTTCAAATTTTAGAAATTCAAGAATAGTTGATATTCTTTTTTAGCTCAAACTGTTTTAACCTTATTCATATTTATGAATGATACCTAGCTAGGTCTCCGTTTGCAAGTTTGTAATTATCATGATTAATCTTCTATATAAAAATAAATAAATAGAAAGATGAATAAAAAAATCAATCAAGAATAAGTGTTCTGATTGTGAAAATGCAACAGGCCTTGGTTAGACATGGGTTCAAGCCCAGAACCTCGAAACATCACACTGGTGCTCAATCAAACTGATCTACCGACTGGAATCAATCTAGATTTGATTCACTACTGTTTCCCCTACAGAAGAAAATTCCCCTGTTCTTTGAAATTCCCATATTTAACAAGAAAATAGCATTTTTTCTCCAAATATTTTCCCTTATATATGTTATTTTTTAAGTTCAACGGTTAAAATGCAAAGTACTGCATATAGATATATAAATATACATTTTTTCACATAATTTAAACAAAAATTCTTCAATTTTAAACTTAAAATTGTTTATAAATTGAAATATACTGCACACATGTATGTTGGACAAAACAATTATCTTTTACCTTCATGACGCTAGAGTCTAACGTAGCAAAATTTAAATTTCCCCCAAATCTGAAAAATGGGTCGATTGGTCCCTGACTGATTTGATGTACATGTAGATCTATACTAGTACTGGTCAAAGGTCAACTTAAGGCTCGTTACTAGTCACACAACAATTATATTTGAAACAAAAAAAAAGGGGGGGGGGGGGTTAAAACCCCCACATTGAGCTTCCTACAACTAAGCAATACTATATAATTCAGCCAACATTAATTGTGTTCTGGTCTGATCACAGTTCATTCCACAATACTAGTGTTTATGTTAGTATGTCGCAGTACTAATAATTCAGCGGTTTCCTGATCCAGCAATGTGAGCTAGAAGTTAAGGTGACTATATCAATAAAGTTATTCTCCACTGTTATAATTAAACTGGCTCCAATATCACTGTATATAATCTTTGTGATGTTGAAATTAATTTCATCAATAAATTCTGATTTAAATATTTTACAGGTGGAACAGCTGAAGAGGGAGAACAAACTGTGGACCAATGATAGTCTGTTTCTACGGGAACATTTACTGGTCCCTGTTGCTAGGGAGGATGTAGCAACACTGCCAGAGGACATTGAAGTAGTCGATGTTGACCCCAGAATTAGGTCAAGGTCGGGAAGTCAAATTTCAAATTCTAGTCGAAAAAGCGGTGAAAGTGGAGAACATGGTGATTCTACAGACAATGGTGTTTCTGTGGAGCCGAAAGTGTCGCCACTCGACTTCCTTAACAAATACGATTCTAATATAGCACAACTTAAATCTAATATGGAGAAAATGGAAACAAATGCAAGGTAAGCATGGCATTCTTTTGTAGTTTATTTTACTTATGTAATAGCTAATACATGTACATGTATACTAGCCTGCAAGTGACATGTTGAAATCAGAACACAGGTGCTGTATTTGCTGGAATGAAAATAAGATTTTTGTGCATGTGGGTGGTTATTGTTTATCAGTAAATTTAATTAATTTGGAACAGCTGATAAGTGATTTGATGAGAAAAAAATATTCTGTTTTTTTCCCCATCAAACTTAAAATAATCTTCTTTTTTTTTTGGGTCAGAGTGCATGAAGTTTTTTTTAGTAAATTTAACTGTTGTTAAGAAGAAGGCTGTACATAATAGCTTCTATGAAACCAGGTGTTCTGTTTCAATGTTTATTATAAAATAGTAATATTTTACTTATTTTATCTACAAGGAAGTATTTTGATGGCCACATTTCTTGTCTCTAACCTGATATTTTGTCGCACATCAATAGAAGGTCAAGTTAAAATGAACTCCAGCTGTTGCCTGGATGTGAAAAAATGTATGCCTTTCAATATTTTTGTCAAACAAAATTTCAAAATTTGATAGAATAGTACACATGTACATATATATAGTGAAACATTTCATTGGAGAAAGTTGGTTTTTCAGTGTACCATAATAATCTAGAGTTTTCACACTACAGACAATAGCTCTATGTAATATTGATTTCCTATAGACCTACTAAAATTTTCATGGACCAGAAAAATTATAGGAACATGTTTATTCTTGATGAGATGAAAATTAGAAAATATGTGTAATAATAAATAAATAAATGTGATTTAACCCTTTCACCCCTATGTAACTTTAGTAAACTCTACCATGCATTGATATGGATGAGTCCATTATGGTTTAGAGTGTTGAAAAGGTTAACAGAACCCTTGTTCCCCTCACTACCTACTTATAATGGAATCATATACATCATATCTACATATACATCATATCTACATACATCATATCTCCATACATCATATCAACATACGCATCATATCTACACACATTATATCTACATACATCATGTCTACATACACTTCATATCTACAAAAATCATATCTACATACATAATATCTACATACATCTTATCTACATACATCGTATCAACATACACATCCCATCTACATCATATCTACTTGTAATTCTATAACGTTTCATGGCAACTTTCTCTTCAGGATTTTTAAAGGGACATCCCGTGAAAAGGCGTTTTTTTTTTTTAATGAATGTATGTATTGTATGCACTTCCACTTATGTTACCTCGCTATCCCCATATTCATAGTCCGTTCCAAATGTCCAGTTTGACCACTTGAATTGTTCGGGAAAGCCCGGCTAAAAATAGCGCCGATAAATGCATTGATATGGATGAGTCCATTATGGTTTAGAGTGTTGAAACGGTTAACAGAACCCTTGTTCCCCTCACTAACTACTTATAATGGAATCATTTACATCATATCTACATAGATCATATCTACATACATTATATCTACATACATCATGTCTACATACATCATATCGACATACACAGCATATCTACATATACATCATATCTACACACATTATATCTACATACACATCCTATCTACAGCATATCTACATACACATCGTATCTACATACATCATACCTACATACACATCATATCCACATACATCATATCAACATAAACATCATATCTACACACACATCATATCTACAGACATCATATCTACATACGGATCATATCGACATACACAGCATATCTACATATACATCATCTCTACATACATCATATCAACATACACATCCCATCTACATCATATCTACATAGACATCATATCTACACATCATATCTACAGACATCATATCTACATACAGCATATCTACATACATCATGTCTACATACATCATATCAACATACGCATCATATCTACATACATTATATCTACATACACATCCTATCTACAGCATATCTACATACATCATATCTGCATACACATCATATCTACAGATGAGATGAAAATTAGAAAATATGTGTAATAATAAATAAATAAAAGTGATTTAACCCTTTCACCCCTATGTAACTTTAGTAAACTCTACCATGCATTGATATGGATGAGTCCATTATTGTTTAGAGTGTTGAAAAGGTTAACAGATCCCTTGTTCCCCTCACTCCCTACTTATAATGGAATCATTTACATCATATCTACATAGATCATATCTACATACATAATATCTACATACATCTTATCTACATACATCATACCTACATACACATCATATTTACATACATCATATCTACATCATATCTACTTGTAATTCTATACCCTTTCATGGCACCTTTCTCTTCAGGATCTTTAAAGGCATGCATTGATATGGATGAGTCCATTATGGTTTAGAGTGTTGAAACGGTTAACAGAACCCTTGTTCCCCTCACTCCCTACTTATAATGGAATCATTTACATCATATCTACATAAATCATATCTACATACACCTCATATCTACATACATCTTATCTACATACATCATATCTATATACACATCATATCTACATACATCATATCTACATACATCATATCTACATATATCATATCTACATACATCATATCAACATACACATCATATCTACATCATATCTACTTGTAATTCTATAACCTTTCATGGCAACTTTCTCTTCAGGATCTTTAAAGGGACATCACGTGAAAAGGCGTTTTTTTTTTTTAATGAATGTATGTATTGTATGCACTTCCACTTATGTTACCTCGCTATCCCCATATTCATAGTCCGTTCCAAATGTCCAGTTTGACCACTTGAATTGTTCGGGAAAGCCCGGCTAAAAATAGCGCCGATAACGTCACCTGATTAGGCAGCAAACACAAGTGGTGCGAGCGAGATGAAACGGTTTACAAAGGGGCCCTCAGAGAGGGGCCGTCAGGCAACTGCAACTTCTTACCGCACTATGAAACCAAGTTATATGATTTCTAATTCCGTATTCAAACTTATTGAACAGTAATTATTCATCATCAGAAGTTAATTGCACACTTGCCAATATTAAGAATTTAAATTTATTTAGCTTTTAACATAAATTTGTTGCCAATAAAATTAAACAAAGGATGGGGCACAAGTTTTTACAATTTATCACAGCCTTCTCCCGTGACCGGTACAGGTGGTACGGGGCTAAACACTCCCTCAACAATGGGACAAACCTTTCTGTAAAAAGGAATATTCACGAGACGAATATCCCTTTTCAAATGTTTACATAAAGTGCATATATGCAATGACAAACTACACGCGAATATAAAAAGGAAACGTTTGTGAATTTATTTATTACATTAAACAACTCAATGTCTTTGGCCATTTTTTTTCTAGACCATGAATATAAATCTATGTATACTCTCTTTCCCACTTTCACTGTCTCCAAACGCTAACATTTAGGAAGTCATATTAACCATCACACACAATAAACTGTATGGCAAAACCACTACGTGTACATGTAGAATATGTGTCAATAAGGAACGTGTTGAGATACTTGATAATTATATTTTTTCAATACTTTACAGAGATTAAAGCATACTTTTAAATGGACCTTTTTATGCTGAGACAACTTTTCTTTAATCAGTTCCTTTGGTCCGAAACAGAAGCCGTAGTTATCGGCAGCACGCGCCATTTTTATAACGTAATCAAATATTTTTTCCCCTGTTTTCAATACGTATTCCGATTCTATCTGAAGTCGAAAATTTATTCTTTATAGAGAAAAGGTTGTTACATGATCATACATTCTAAGTCAACATCATATGAAAACATGAACTGTTGAAAAATTACGATTTAAAAAAAAAGTGTTATGCGATCCTATTTACTAGAAGTAGGTTCTCCTTCCTCAGTTATTCATCCTGGTCCGTCATTTTGACATTTTTAATCTAGCTGCGATAACGTAGCTTTCTGACGAAGAGCGATTTTTTTTTTATATATTGCGTCGTCGCGCCAGGGCAGGCCGGGTATTATATTAGTACTAATTTAAAACTTGCATGTCAAAACAAAAAACAATCGTTTAATTCAGCAATATAATTAAATCATACCATTTTACTGATCCCGGTAATATTATAAATTATGTAAATCTAATAGCGCACGTATCTCATTTGACCCCGAGCACCGACAGAGGATCAGAGAACAGAATACGCCGTGGCCATCACAGCAGTTATCCCTTGGGGGGCCTCATGGCAAAATCAAACTAACCAGTCACTTATCCCTTTCGTTTGCATAAACCACTGTATAATTAAAAAAAACACAAAGTAAACTCTCTCCGATACATGCCCATTAACATATTAAACTAAGTTCATCTGTGTTCAAACTCACACAATGATACTAGCGAGGTTAATAGTTTTAGATATTTATTCATAACATAAACAGCGCTAGCATTTCTGTCGATTTTATTTCAGCTTAACCGGCCGCTATCCGGAAGAAAACATGCACCGTACTGACTGCTAGGGCAGTTATTTTCTGCTTTGAATACTTCCCACTGGCAATAATGATTCCGTAACGTACCCCTTGCGCTATCTTTTGACCATTTGGCAACTATTCGCTTCGTAGCTGACACGGTACAACACTTTTCTTTGGCTTACTTCACACGGCCAGTCATTTTGTTTACAAAGAAATGGTGTGCTATGCGCATGCGCTAGTAGAGGGAAATCCCTGAACAAAACGTTGGTCAGACAGGTAGAAATACCGATGATTATCTTAGATTTAATCATTTTTATGAATCTATTTCAGCCAAATCCGATCGGCATTTTCCATAAGGAGTCTCACTTGATATGTTTATGTAGTATTTGGAAAAAAGACAAAAAAAAAAGTTACTTCAGCGTGATGCCCCTTTAACCTTATATTTCCTTTATATAATTTCCTCTGATTTTAATCTAAATTTCTCCCATTTAAATCTTTCACATTCAACATTTGATATATATGTGTCTTGCATAATTATTATCAAATTAGGTAAAAGAACTCAATATCAAATGATCAAATAAATGAAAAA